TTTTGCTCCTAAGCACTTGGGTATTGTCTCATACTATTATTAGGACTAACTACGAACACTTAGCTTTTCGCGTTGTGCTCGACCAAATGTATTGCTACTCTCTGGTGCCAACTGCCAACCAGACGTTCGTGGAGCCGATGACGTCGATGGGCATTTGCCGGCACCCAAAGAGGGTTCAGTTGGGTTGGGCGGAGTTGGGTGGAGTTGGGTGGAGTTCAGTTGAGTTGGGCCTGAGTTCGACGCCTTTCCGCTACTGGCTCGCATCGCACCACCCGCAAATGTAATTAAAATGGCTTTCAGCAGCATCAATTAGAAAGTACAGTGCACACACACGTGCACGGATGCGAAAAAGGAAAAGTTGTCTTCGAAAATTGTGTTGCATACTTGCTGGCACTATTCACAAAATTAATTTCAATTTGCTGGCGCCAGTGTGTGGGTGTGTGCGCGTGTGTGTGTAAATGCGTGTGAGTGGGTGCTGTGGAAGCTTCCGATTTACCTGCTGCAGCAAGAGCGAGAGCGGGAGACAGAGCGAGAGAGAGGGAGAGAGCGAACGAGAGAGAGGGCAGCAAGTGATAGAGCCAAGATGAAGTGAAATGAACAAATGTTTTTTGCGCTTTGCTGGCTGCACAAAGTTTGGCCAAAAGGTTCCGAGCTTCTGTCCTTGCCTCCTTCGATCTGCATTCGGCTGTGCATGTGTGTGCGTGAGAGTGGAGGCACACGCACACACACACACACACACACACACACACACACACACACACGCGTATGCCTGGGCACATCTACTCACTTGGGCACGTTTCGGGCTTCAAGCGGAAAATGCAGAAGGAAAAGGCGAGGGGAAAAGAAACACGCCTCCCCCCTGGGAAAGCCCACCGCGCCCCTCCACTCCGAGTCACCGAAGAGCAACAACAAGTTTTTTGACACTCATAATTGAGCCACAAACAAACGTAAAGCAGGGAAAACACACAAACAAGGGCGAGAAGATAAAGAGCACGAAGAAAGGTAAATGGCAAAAGGCGAAAATGCACAAAGACAGCAGAGAACGTAGAAAAGCCATAAATAATAGCCTCGCCCCTGTGAGAGTGTCAGTGCGTGTGTGTGTGTGTGTGTGTGTGTGTTCTCGAATGGCTTAGAAGGAGCGAGATGGCAGGACGGAAAAGCGATTCCATTTTCCCAACTTTGACTTACCTCAAGCGACACGCTACTTAGGTGGCCCCAAAAGAAACCCCCGCCACCCGCCACCCGCGACACCAAAACGCCCCCCTGGACGCCGGAGGCACTGACTTGTGGCTATTTCCCACAATTCGCTCTTGTTTTCTCCGCCTTTCCATCTGCACTGGCAACGTGCTTGGTTGGCATCGCACACACGCTCAGTTCCTCCTCTTGGCTGCTGGTCCGCAAACTTAGCATGCAAAGCATAATTTGGATAACCTGAATCCCGCTCACTAGCTTGCCTGGCTACACTGCGGCCCATGACTGTAAGGCCGAATGGCAAATGCCGAATGCCGAATGACAAAGTGCAAACAGAAAGGCGCCTGCCACTAAAATTTAAAAGGGATGTGTTTGGCTTCGATTATCCAATGGAACGTCACGTTCATGTGGGATAACAAGCCACGACTAAGGATTCAATCTGCCCCAAAAGTTTTTGCGATAAAACACATCCTTCGGTGAACAGCAAACGCAATGTAATTATATCATAGGTTGGGAAAGCCCATTTGGACCTCCTTCGCCTGTCGCCGATTGGCAAAGACAGAAATGAAAACGGACTACAAGCGGGACACAAATTAAAATGGTATTTGTCTCCAAGTGGCATTAGTCACAACGCGCAATTTCCTTTTTACTTCGCCGCCGCTTTTCCGACGCTATGCTTTCCTTCCCCATTTTCCCCGCGCTCATTTGCCCTCTCAAGTGACCCGCTCGGGCCAAATTAAAATGTCATAAATTTGAGTTAATTACGGTCGAGTAAACATTTGCATTATTGTGTTCGGTCTTCGGCTTCGGTCGGCTCTTCCTCCTCCACAGGAATCCATTATAAGAATCCCCTGAGCTATTTAGTTACTGGCCGTTTGCTTTGCTCTTGTATCTTTTGCCTTGTATCTTCTACTTACGCCGCTTTATACTACAGCTTTGGCCACGGCATCGAGGTAAGCAGGTGCTGCGAATTAGCTTCTTCATGGACGCGCCTTAGTTTAAAGATATAATGGAGTAAGCCCTTCAGTGCAATCGGAGATCTCTGATCCTCCATAATCTAGCCCACTCGTATGTGGAAGCTTGGTGCCCTCATTTCCTGCGCCAAACTCCAATTACTTTGCAAGTTTTTGAGCCCCGGGCTCGACAAAGGGGTGAGCCGTTCGACTTCATCAATGCGCCAGTTCATCAATGGCTTTTCACTATTTCCCGCATTCGCAGACTCCATCTCCTGCTCTGTGCCCGATTAGGCGTGATTTTCCGCTCCTTTTGGCCCCACTTGTTTTGGGGCGGGGAGCCGCTGGTTTGCCACCTTTCAGGTCGTCGGAGCACGGGACAGAACTGAAGGGGTTTTCCAACCTGATTGCCTTCGCGGGAGGGGAAGTGGAGCGCCGGCAGCGGACGGAAGTTGCGACAGATTTGGTCCCTGGGCGCCGCGTTTTGGCGGTTGCACTTGGTCGCAGGAGCGGGCGGCCCTTTCGGCACCTCCCAATTAAAATCCTGGCGCTGGTGCAATTTCCCTTGCTCGCAAAGTCAATTCTGCGGCTTCGGATTACTTTCTTCCCTCAGCGTGTCCAGTGGGTCGCCGCATGAACCGCGAAAATGGTATATATCCACGGATACATTTGGCTTTCCAAAGGCCTGGGCTCTCCGTGGAAGCTCCCCCACTTTGGCTAGCGCATTCCCCCACACAGCTGCTACTGCATATAAACATGTTTTTAAAGCGTTTTCCGGTCCTTGACCTGGCGATACGTGGGTTAAGCTCCGATTTGTGGTTAGAGGAAAGAGGATATTCCGCATAATTGGCGCAGGACATGCGCTACTTTTATGGATATTTTCCCGCCGGGGATTCCGTTTCCCCCGAAACCTCTATCGGTGCCACGATGTGTCTCTGTGCTGCACACTGCGTTGCCATGGCTAGCGACATTATTATTGAGCCCCTCCCCTCGCCCATTGTTGGTGTTGCTGTTGGTGTTGCTGTTGGTGTTGCTGTTGGTGTTGCTGTTGGAGTTGCTGTTGGTGTTGCTGTTGGTGTTGCTGTTGGTGTAGCTGTTGGTGTTGCTGTTGGTGTTGCTGTTGGTGTTGCTGTTGCTGTTGGTGTTGCTGTTGGTGTTGTTGTTGCTGTTGGTGTTGCTGTTGGTGTTGGTGCAAGCACAACACAACATTGGGGCAGCAACAACAAGAGCCGTTCTCAGTCGGGCACAAGCCAAACATAATCTGCATAAACAAACACACTGCCACTCCTCGAAGGGGCACTGGACAGCCGAAATCTGTGTGTTCGGTCGCTTTTGGTTGAATTATTAGATTGCCTGGGAACTGGAAAACTGGATGGCCACCTCCACCTCCACCTCCGCCTCCGCCTCCACCTCCAGCTGCTCCGCCCTCTCCAGCCGCATTCTTCCACTTCCAAAACGGGCAAACAAAAGCTGATCCCAAGCTCCGTTGGCGCCTTCTTGCCAACTTAATTACTTTTGAAATAGTTGAGCGCACGCAAACACAGCACAGCACATCCCATCACTTTGCTCGACTGGCAAGCGAAGGACAGGGAAAACTCGGCAGGGAAGGGCGTGTGGTGGGTGAGGGGCGCAATGCATATTTCAGCTGCCCTGGCAACCGGAAGTAGGATTTCTTTTTTTCGATACAAGCCCGGAGGCAGCCCTTCTTATTCATGAAGTTTCCAAGGCTCTGTTGCATAGCCGCTCAATGCGATGGCAACTCGCGGGGCTTGTGATCAATATTTATTTGAAAGCAGCTTTGTTTTCCAGCCAGCGGTTCATAACTACCTTACATATTCTGAATGGAATTCCCAACCAATTCCCGACAATTGCCAGGAGAGATCTACCAGCCCAGCTTCGAAATAAGTTGGAGCACAGCGGACAGATAAGTTTGCCCCTCCTTGAGCAAAAGCGACAAATAGGCGACAAATTGAAACGAAACCCCGATTTTGGCCATCTGGGAAACTTTCATTGTGCCTGTTCATAATTAGAGAGTGAAAATCCGTTGCGCTGAGTGCAATCAGCAGCGGCATTGTCTGCCAACTCGCTGCAGGACCCCATTCACTCGCTTCCTCGTTGGCAATTGTCTCCTGGGACTGTCCTTTTGATATATACACAGAATAAAATCCTTTGATACCCCAAAAACAGGGAGTATAGGCGAACACCACGGAAACTGAGCAGTTTCTACTGAAAGATACCTTTCAGCAAAGTGTTTTCGACTTCCTACGCGGGCAAAGAGCATCTTTCCGTTTTCACAGCATAGGTTGTTGCTCCCGCACATTGGCCACAATGGCGCTATCCATCAATTACCAATTGATATCGTTGTGCACAGTGTTCCTGGGGCATTCATCATCGCTCTTCGGTAATGAAGCATTTAAGCAGGCGCATGGACCCATTTCTTGCCACGAATCCGCCCACACTGCGCGCTCTAATGAAGGCCATCCATTGTCTTTGGCTGGTGGGCTGGTGGGCTGGTGGGCTGGTGGGCTTCCGGGATCACCCAGTATCTTCTGGTTCACCCAACGACGTGGCATTATTTTGTATCGCTTTGTCACGAACGGCGCGCTGGGAAACATGGGTTGTGCCTGTCCAACGTGGCGCATGATTAATGTGCCTGGTGCTGGTGGCAGATCTGGTCTGTTGTTTGCCGTCTCTGGCTTTTCCAGCATCATAATCGTCCTTGTGTCAAACGGAAAAAAGCGTCAAGTCGCAGACACACACACACACTCCTCACACATTACGCATACGCACTGTTGGCCTTTCGAAGTTTCTCGTTAAACCTTTGTTTAATCCCTGCCTCGCACTATTTAATTTCAGGCCGCCTCGCCGCGATGGGAGCCCCAGATTGCCGTTCTCTGTGAGGCCGGACAAATCTATCAGCCGCAATATCTTTCCGAGGAGGGACGCTGGGTGACGGACCTCAGCAAGAAGACAACCGGGCCCACATGTTTGCGTGATAAAATGGATTTGCTTGATTACTGCAAGAAGGTAAGCTCGTGCCTCTTTGTCGGGTTGCGGCAAGCGCCAAAGAGAAGCCGCATGAGAAATTACTATCTCCATATTACCATCTCCATATGGCGAACTTTCCCAGTGGCTACTTGCCGCGCGCGGATTGCGCATACGCCATGTGGTCAAGTGCGGGTGCGGCGGAAAAATGTGATTTAATGGCCTGGCTAACGCCGCAGAAAGTCCGGTGCAGAAGCAGAGCCGTACTGGGTGGCTTTAAGAGCCCAGCGAAAGAAAACCAATAAATCAAAAGCAGCCACCAATCGGGAAAAGCGGGGAGAAGCGCGAGGGGAGCACTGAGTGGTCCTCCTATATGGCATCAACAATTTAATTTGCGCTGCGTTGAAAGCGTTTACATTGACACAACATTAAGCGACACTTAATTAATTTTCCATTAATTTTCGTTTTTGCATTTTGCGGGACTTCTTCCCGCTACCCGCTGCCCGCTTCCCGTTTTCCATTTCCCAAGTCGCGTGTGTGTGTGTGTGTGTATGTATCCTGCATCGAAGCCGTGGCCTCCCCGTCATCGCTGTCATAAATTGGCATTCCGCAGTCAACATTTTGTCCTCCGCTCGCTCCATTTCCTGAACTTTTTAATTAAATTTTTCTTTGCGCAGACGACGGCTAATGTAAGCTCAGTCCCGCTTCCACCTCCACCTCCTGATCCCTTGAACTTGTGCTCCGCAGGATGCTGCTGTTCAGTCATCAGGCACCATCAGCTTCGTCAAATGACCCACAATGTCCGATGAATATGACAGTGTGTGATGATGAATATGACAGTTGAATACAAGTGTATTGGGCGTATCCTGCGTTGTCGCAGGACAAGCGCAATCACATCAAAGCTGCTGCCGTTCCACGTGTGTGTCCTTGTGGGCAAGGATAACATGCCCATGGCTGTTCTGCCTCCAGCCCAAGACGCCACCTGTGTTCAGTCGCCGATCAGCGCTGGGCTCAGAACGAGAACATGTGTTCGGGATGTGGTTCCAGGACGTCATCCATTCCCACGCGTCGCCGGCGTCATTACGATCATCTGCGTCTGAATGCAAATAATGAGCGCGGCAAGCTGTCAAAACTGTCTCATTTGATTCCGACATGCAAATTTCACACCCACTCCGTGCAGGCGCCAGGATTCCGATTCGCGTCCTGCAGTTGCTGTCGGCTGCAGTTGCAGCGGCATTTGTTGCCGCAACGTAAATCGAAACAACACGCACACCCGTGTTTAATGCATGTAAATGACAAATATTATATTGGTTTTTCATTTGGAGCTCGTTCCACGCCAGAGCGTTTGGTTTTTCTTTGGCTGGCTTTTGTTGTCCTTGGTCGCGTTGATGTCACACTCGTATTTTATGTAATTCTCGACGCCGCATTTGTTCGCTGATGCCGCTATCTGCTATCTGCTATCTGTGCTGCCTCTCGCACATTTTATAATTATGATAATTTATTTATCATGCTTAATTTGCGTCGGTGGCATGTTTTGCCATGTTGCTGCCCCCGTTCGCGCCGCAGGCTCCGCCGCGTATGAAATCCAATAAAATCGCAATTAAGCTGGAGAGCCCGCAGCCATCGCATCGAATGAGTGCCCCGAGTGCCGTTTGATGGCTTTAATACGATGGCTCAGCCAGGTTCTAATGTCCGTTCCATAATGCCGTTCCATGCTGTTCCAACTGCATCCTGTGGTTGCACCGACTCCGGAAGGTCAACTAGCTCCTTCAAGTCGAACCCCTTCGTTTGGCAGCTCGCGGACTGGCGTAGTGCTGCGAAATGGGGACGCCACGCCCACCTTGTGCTCCAGCTGCACCAAATCCGCCTTCTGTCCTGCCCTTCGCCTCTGCTGATGGCATGAAAGGCTTTCCAGCCCCCAGACCTCCAGAGCCAGCCACTGCTGGGGAAGGAGCCTCGCAGGCCGCAGCAAAGGAGTGGAACCGCGGGGCGGAGCCCTTGCTCCCCATTGGTGTCCCCAGTGGCCCCCCGCGGGGGGTAGGGGAAGGTGGCCGGAAGTTGCACCTTAAATATTTTCGACCCGGCCGTTTTGGCTGTTTGCAGGCGGTTTTGCACTCGCTGGATTCCGCTGCCCTCGCCCCGCAAATAAATCACGCCAGCACTTTTGCAATCGGCCCTGTAATTTGGTTTCACCTTGCCGCTGCCGGGAAGAAATTAATTAAAAGCTTTTTGTTGTCCTTTTGTCCGGCTGCCCAAATGCCCAACTGCCCAACTGCCAAACTGCCAAACCGCTCTGGCCAGCGTGTTTGTATTTACTCATATAATTTTGTGCCAATTTTGCGCCAGCGATGGTTTCTTGTTTTGGTTCGTTTCAATTAGCCCCGACTGCTCCGCGTTTTGTCGCTCTGCAGTTTAAACGGAAATTAATTCAAGCCGTGTTTGCTCGCGGTGTCATGCTCCAAAATGTTGACCCCTTCACCACGAAGCCCGGAGTCGTTGCCAAAAAGAAAGTGGCCCAATGCCCGCCGTGTTTGCCTGGGCTAATGAGGTAAGTTGCATGCGGATGCCACTCGTCGAAGCCATGGATTAATAATGATAAGTGGACTGAAAGTTGCGAGTTGCAAACATAAATCGCCACCGAACTCAATTAACTACTTGTGTCTGCTTTCGGGGCCCGTGGCCCATGTGCTGCAGGTCTCAGATCCACCGACCAGAACGTTAATTAGAAGCGCTTGTAATTGAATAGCGCCAGAAGCGCCAGAAGCGCCAAAAGCGCTCCCTCCACTTTCCCGCCGCCCACGGAAGCCTTCCTAGGCCCGCTGCTGGTGCTCGTATTAATTCCGCCGCGTCATCCGCGCTCCTCACATGGCCGCTTGAGTTTCAACCCAGTCGATTACAGCCAACTTGCGCCAATTACGCGCCGTCAGATTCCCAGCTGCATGCAGCTTGGGGAACCCATCGGTTACATAGGCGCGCACTGAGTTCAATCCCAGCTGAGTGACCAAGGAGTGTCTTCAGTCTGATCCCAAATATTCTGCAGGGGTTAGCAGCCTGAGTTTGGATTTCTAAATAAACACCGCAGCGATTCAATTACACAGCAGCTGCTGCTTTTGCACCATGGCGCCGACTGAAATAGCTCGCGCATCATCTGAGCTTCAGGAGCACCCCGTGTAATTACCAGCCCATCTGCATCCGACCCGCATCCTCACCTGCCCAGTCATCTGTGGCCTAGTCCCGCGATAATGCCGCTGACAGGTGAGCAGATGAACAACTGAACGGCTGGCCACTCACCGTTAAAGGACACGACGAACTATATTTACGAGAAGCTCCGAAATGGCGCATTGAAACCCACTGAGCTGGCAAAAAGTAGTTTAGTCGCTAAATAGTTTGCCCCGCATCAGTCCCCCGCCAACGTCATCAGTCATGTGGCTAAATATAGTTGGCCCGGCCCACTGCTGCCGCTGGAAAAGACAGCGGGGTCGAATGGACGGAGCACTCATTATGTTTGTAATGTTCCTGGACATTTAGAGTTAAATGCCCGCCCGTGCATAACGCCCATTAAAGGTGATGTATGTGCGCCCAAGTGGGCATGTATTACAGCAGAGCTGATACAACTGAAACCAAATCTCCAGCAGCGCGGGATCAGCATCTGCTCTACTCCAAATGGGCCCCCACAAGTGCTTTTGATTGGTTTTTTGCTTTCGATTACCTTTGTGCCAATACTTAAAGTTCTCCCTGCTACCATGTACTATGATACTTTAAGTACTGTCTTGTTTGGATTGCCATTACTATGGGTTGGCCCATGCAATCAAATAAAGGTGAGGGTATCCTAAATGCAGCACATTGAAATCAGAAATCAGAAAGCTAGCTGAATCCGATTGAAAGAGGTTGCAAGGAGCACAAGTAATGGCACGGCCTCTCCCTTCGCTGCGTATCTGTATCTGCTGCGACCGGATGGATAGTGGATGGATAGCGGATGGATAGCGGATGGATAGCAGATGGCAGAGTCCTCTGGCAGAACCCAGAAGCTAACAGCACACGTACTACAAGTTCGGCGTGCACTTGGATGGCAGCTTGCTGGATGGGTTTGCGCTGGCTAAACGACCCAGAGGACCCGGCGACACAAAAGTTTGAGGTGCAGCCTGGGAAAACGCAAGCGAAGAGCCGCAAAAACAGTCCGGGGAACAATAACACAGCTCCTGGCCCTGTTGGGCCTGCCGTGCAACGGGGCGTATGGGAACTTATTTTTACAATTTCAATGTCAACGTGATAGGCGAAGGCCGCGTTCTTGGGTAACCAAACAGAGAAAACGGCGAGGAAAAAGGTGAGGAAAAAGCTGGGAAAAGTAAGCGAAAGTACGTGAGACTAAGTAAGAGGAACCAGTTCAGGACGAGGCAGGGATGCGCGAATGCAAATAGAAGCTGCCACAAAATGATGTGCCGCGGCACGTTCCGCCGGAGCCAAGGAGGGATCACCCGAACCCGACGCAATAATACCGGGCTGGCTGGCGGAGCACGAACCCCACGTCAGTGCAGCATTAAAAGCAAGAAAATCATTTTCAATAAAGCGCTCCACTCCGCCAGGTGTGCCGGCTCACCCAGCCTGCTTGCTGCTGGCTTAGTATGCAACACTTACCTGCCACTCCGGCTGCGTCCTCCAGCTGGGTTTGTTTGGCTCGGACCTCCGCATGGACCTTCATTGGAGGGGTGCGCATCCTGTCCTGAAAGAAAAGAGGAACAACAACCACAATGGAATTAAAGCAGAACGCAGAAACTGGGCAAGTGATCGTGCGAATTTGTAGCAGTCATCTGTGGCACACAGTGCATGCCACTTTACGTGCTGTTCAAATTGGATTTGCGATAAATAAACCAAATGTAAATGTCTGCGGGCCACGAAACTTTCGCAGCAAAGCAGGCCAATAAAACAATGGTGGAAATGCAATTCGTACAGCAAATTGGATAACAATATACCCGTGTACTCGCACGGGCTGTGCGGCGTAACACATCGTTTTAACAATTAAAATCGCGCGCAACTTTTTCACT